GACCATACTTATAGCCCAGTAGATTGATCTCATGCCACAGGGCTTTGTTATCATGTTTACAATAATAAACACAGAAAACCACTTGGTTAGGTTTAGGATGAGATCTACTACTTACTACTACTGCTACTCTTAGTTTTGCTTGTATGGCTTCTACATACTTTGGCTTTTGCTTATTCACAACTACATAGACCAGCGCTGAAGAAAGTTAATTTTCTTTTGGAATATTATTTATTCAACTGGCTACATCTTATGACATTTATTTCAACATTTTATTTTAAAATTTAGCACCATTCCTTTATCCTTTATTTCTCATCTTGTCTGTGTGAATAATGGGTCAGATATGGTAGGCAACAAAAAATATTAAGAACATACCTAATTTCCCCCTTTCTCTCAAAATATTGTGCTTTCCTGGCTTCTTTGATCTGTCTGTGTGTGTCAGCAGCAAAAATGATGCCTTTAAATGCCCTGTCACATAAATGTAATAATTTTCATCTGATTTGATTTATCTGCTGCTCATTAGGTTCCACCGTGGGCAGATGCAGCACATGGAGATGAGATCCCGTATGTGTTTGGCTTACCGATGACTGGACCAACAGAGCTGTTTCCCTGCAACTTCTCCAAGAATGATGTGATGCTCAGTGCAGTAGTCATGACCTACTGGACAAACTTTGCCAAAACAGGGTATGATTACACTACATATGTGACTCCTAAGGGCCATTGCAACTAATTTTCTATATGGTCCCCATGCACTGAAACAGTACCATCCTAACTCAACAAAGTATGTTAACTGAGTTCAAATGTTTAGCTGAAAATCTAAATGCAAACAGTAAGTGCAACAGCTGAGCACTAGCTGAAGTAGCTGCAAGTCAAACTGCACACCCATGCTGTAGGTACAGACGGATGACAAATTAATGGAAAGACTGGATTAAGTGGAAATAAAAAATGCAGTAGAGCAGTGCACAATAGGTCAGACTGATTTTACCTGCTGCATAACAGGATTAATGGAAATGTCTGCAGGGTGTTTGTTAATTATTTTGGCTCATGAGCTGCTTTCATGTGTCATTATGTGTAATTTTTTAATGTGGATTTGGATTTTCAAACAGCGACTGCAGATCACCTCTGGCTACATCCTGTAAGGACAGATGGTGCATCCTGATGCTCGCCAACACAGTTTGACCATATTCATATCTACAGCCACATACTGAGGACTACTTTATTTATCTTATTTAAAAATAATTTTCATTAAACAGTAAATGGCAGATGATTACCGTGAGGTGGATTTTAAAAAAGGAACAATTCTACATCGAGGTATAGGAGCAGCGGGAGGGGAGGGAGGTGTGTATTGCAACGATCACTTCATTTAAATATGAATCTCTGGCAGCTGCTGTGCTGCTTTTGTCTCTGCTCTGCATCTCTAAATTAACTTTCAGGCAGGCACTCCTAGCCAGGAATTTGCTGGCTATTTTATGCATCACATCTGAACAAATTTTACCTGGTCAGACATTCTATCCGGCTACATGTATGAATTAAAGTGGTTAGGCTGCCATAAGGGCACTGTCACAATGATGACAGTGCTACAGCACAACTCTGTAGCACCATGTTTACTGCTTCTTGCTAATACAGCTCCCTCTCTTTGTTTACTATATAGCTTGCTTGACCACAGCTCCACTCTCTCTTGTGCAGGGGTGGGCAATTAATTTTTACAAGGGGCCACATGAGAAACCTGAACTGTGCTGGAGGGCCAAACCAAAGATAACTTGAACTTAATTCTGCTCAATATTCATTATCTTCCATTGTAAAAAGCAGTAAATTATATGTGTTGATTAGCTGCTACTGGTAATCATAAGAATAAGCATATTCTATAAATAGTTATATAAATATATGAAATTGTGGTGTAGGTCAATCAGGAAAATACTCATATAGAAGTAATAAACAGTAAAAACAAAAACAAACAGTATATCACAGTTCCATTTTATTTTCAACTTCACATAACACTGAAAAGGTGTTTTGCAGTATGGTAAAGATATGCATTTTCAGTTCATTTTACTTGTTCAGTGAGAGAAATCCAGACTGGCTTGGGCTTGAACAAGTGCATTGAAATCTGGATTTGTTGAACTTCATCACTGAGAATGTCTGTTCATATATGGAGTGTTATACCCCAGTTCTTTAACTGAACAGATCTGAATGAAGACGGAGTCCAACTTGCTTCATTTTAGTGCTGTTTTTTTTTTTTAAAGACCACAAATAAAAGTTACAGAAGCACAAACCCGGGTGGCTCCCTCCCTCAGACAAGCTGCTGGAGAAGAGAGAGACGCTGGAAACACAGAGTCTAATACATTTATAAGGTTTTGGGCTAACCCCTTACACAAAAAGATATAAAAACATCACGAGTTGGAGACGGTGCATTGTCTCCTTCTCATATCTTATGCTCCGCATGCGTGGAGCAGCTGGATATAACAAAATGTAGAATTCCATGTGTGTGTGTGTTGTTGATACGTGGTGTAATTAAAACAATCGTTCAGACATAAATCTAACACAAGATTAATACAAGAAAACAATTGGTGTCATGGCTTACTAACCTTGAAACAGAACAGACTAGAGCAGACTTTGAATCTTACTAAACTGCATTAATAACACATTAAAGTCTAACACATTAAAGTCTAATAATTATCTGACTGATTTATTAATTTCTAACAGTAGGTAGATCCAAAGATTTCCTGCGATGTTCTCAACCCTTCTCGTTACAGTGTGTCAGGAGAGGGGACCTTCTCATATGCGTCCTTTTTCTCTGGGCATATTAGTGCTGCAGAGTCCAACAAACACTCTTTAATAAACTCTCCGTCAGAAAATGGCTTATTTTTTCTGGCTATTTTGTGGGATATGACATAACTTGTATTGAAAGCTGCATCTCTGGGTGTGGAAAGTTTTGTAAAAAGTCTTTGTTGGTTATGCAGTTTCACTAGCAAAGCATCCAACTCTCTTGCGCACTCTTCATCCGACATGTTCTTGTATTTCTCCTCATGATTGGTCATGTAGTGGCGATTCAAATTGTAATCCTACCACAAACTAAGCGCACCGCTTTACCTTTGACTTCTGTAAACAAATACTTTCCAGTCGATGTCTTGTTGAAAACGTAGCATTTGGCATCAACTTTTCTTTTTTGGCGTGAGTTGACATTTTGAGGGTTTGCTGGACAACATCACCTGTCTCTCACCCGGTAAGTTGGGGATTTTAGGTTCACCCGTGAACTTTTTTCATTCATGTTCTGATTTGATGGACCTCACACGGGCCGGACAGGGACGCCCAAAGGGCTGGATGTGGCCCGCGGGCCGTAAAATGCCCAGGTCTGCTCTTGTGGCATATATTTCGGGCAAGAAATGAAATTTCAGCTTAAAGATAAAAAGAACCTAACATCGCTAGCTAGTACAGAGTGTATTTTGAACGGGTACAGAGAGGATACAGTTTAGCAGCATAAGCCAATGCTGAATGGCTGGAAATGCCATGAGTTATATGTGACTTTTCAGTGGCTGGTGCCACCCACAGACAGTCAAGAAGCAGACTTGAACTCAAACATCCAAAATACCAGTGCTCTGTTTTGTAGCTTTGCTATCCGCTCCAAACATTAGCAGATACCTGCTGTGCCTATAGAAAAATTCAGGGCTTCACTCATTCAATAAGATGTTGCATTGCAATATAATACAACAATCAATCACAATGCCTAAAAAAAAAGAGTTGCATAGAAATGTTAGGTGACATGGTGACCTAAGAAGTAGGCTATAAGGGAGGGGTGGATAAAAAAAATAATACAGTGGTATGTTATCCAACATCCAACAATCAAATACATACGCTTCAAAACTTATCTGCATTTTGCAGTTTAGTTGCATATTCTAGGAGCATTGAGAGGGTTGGCTGATTTGTCCAAACAAAAATCTACAAAGTCTTAAACTAACATCACAATCCACACACAATAGAATCACAGTTTAAAGCACACAGTCTGCATCTGGGGTCCTTTCTGGTGTGGTTGACCCCTGCTTCGATTGATCTTGTACTTAGTTCTTGTTCTTGTGCTGCTATGATCAGTGCCTCAGTGTTGTCCGATAGGCCAGCCTTTTCCAGCCACTGGTAGGATTTCCCAATGTCAGCCACCTTGGTTATCTGTCGGTGGTGCAACCTCTTTTCACCTGGTGTACAGTCTCTCAGTGTTGGGACTTCGGGTGGAAGCCTCCGTGCAATGTGAAGAGTTTCTGGGTCTTCACATCAGCAGCTTCCATGTCCTCTTTTGTCCAGCTCACTATGCTGGCAGGGTATCTGATGACTGGCAGGGTGTATGTGTTGAAGGCTTGGCTCTTGTTCTCCCCAATGAACTGGATTTTCAGGGCCTGTCTTATCCTTTGATGGTACTGTTTTTATTGACTCCTCATCGTGGTTCCCATGTGACTGTGGGAAACCAGGGTACTTGCAGGCACTATAAGCTTTATCAAAAAGGAAAGTCTGAAGTCTAATCTTAAAGGTAGAGGGGGTGTCTGCCTCCTGAACTGAGACTGGGAGTTGGCTCCACAGGAGAGGAGCTTGATAGCTAAAGGCCCTGCCTCCTATTCTACTTCTGTGGACTCTAGGAGTCCTGTACTCTAATCCTGCACTCTGAGAGTGAAGTGCTCTGAGAGCAAAGTGCTCTGTTGGGATGATAAGGCGCTACAAGGTCTTTAATACAATTCCATTGTAACTCTGTAACATCTGATGACTACAAGGAGTGAACTGAACTAATGTACTATTCTCTCTTATGGACTGTACAGTGTAATTGGGATTCTATGCAGATACTCTCTACATATCTTTAAATACATTCTAATTAATGGTTGTAGCCCGAAGAGCAACCTTCTCAGTTGGACAAAATTAAAATCACAAAATTAAAACCTTTTCCCCACCTCGGTCTCCTGTTGCCTTCCAGCATATAGCCATGGCCATAATTGTTTTTTGAGAGTGTAATGGGGGGCCATTGGCTTTTTCTGTGCACTGCCCAGTAGCCCTGTGGGGAACAGAAAGGCACTAATGATCTACATACATAACCCCAAATTGAAATAGAATGCTGCGTACCTGGGAGATTTATGCCATCAATTTGAATAGTTAAGTGTGTTCCTGATGAGGTCTGGCTGGCTCCATATGCTGCTCTCAGACAATGGGGCGCTTACTGGGTGTCCATAGCTCATATGGTTGGCTCTGTTTATTTAAAATGGGATTCCATGGTAAATGCTCCTCTGAATGTACTGAATAGGAGGAGGGCATTCATGAGGGGTTTATGACCTGCATTTTTAGTCAGCCTTGTGTTATTATGGCTTGATTCTAATGTTTATCACAAGCAGATTGTACACACGATTAAAATAGCAGCTATTTCTCAGTTTGGTTTATGGCAACTACTGAAGCATATGTTTTCTGGAAATTATCAGCATGGTTGAACAACATCTTTACTCAAACATATTCCTGGCCAGGAAGCATCTTTTCATGCATAAATTATGTATAAATAGGTTCAGTCATGCAATTTTGAAGCATTTAAATAAAACCTCATTTTAGGGAAATGTGTGAGGCTATCTTTAAACCTTTTTATTCAGTCATAATCTTTAGAAAACCAATCATTTGTAAGCAATAATACCCTTTTTGACCTTTTATGACTTTATCAGGTGTGATATCTCAGACACTGTTGATTAAAACTTGATGAAACCTGGGGGCTCCATCTTACTGCTTCATTCCAGTATTTTCATAATTACACTGATTAGCCTGAAGAAGATGCTACACTTAGGTCAAAATTAAAATGTAATAATCAGACAGCCATGCCTAAAAAGGTCCACTCCAACTTTAGTTTAGCTCTTAGTTTACTTCTTCCTGCTCCCTGAAGCAAAATACCACAAAGTGATGCAATTATTACTGATTGGACAGGAGAGGACTGCATTGTCCACTAGAGGCAACATTTCTATTATTCCATTCTTTCAAATGGGCTGGTTTTAAAGTTCTGTCCTAAAACCATGTCTCCCCTGTCTCTACTCTTTTCAGGGACCCAAACCAGCCTGTCCCCCAGGACACTAAGTTCATCCACACCAAGCCCAATCGCTTTGAAGAAGTGGCATGGACTCGCTACAACCAGAAAGATCAGCTTTATCTACACATTGGCCTAAAGCCCCGAGTCAAAGAGCACTACCGTGCCAACAAGGTACAGTCAGATATTACTGCACTTGCTGTTTTGATGTTGATTATCTTTTTAACACTCTTAGTACTGAATACTGACAGCCATCCTGGAATCGAATACACTGGTTTTGGAAAGGAACCTTAGAAAAAGTATCTTTGGATTTTAGTGAAACTAGTTTGCATTTTATCAGGGTCGATTATAATGGTAACCTGTGCTGCCCAGCTAAGCCATATCACAACTGACTGCTGGTTACTTGTCACTTTGTTTCTATTATAATTATGTAAGTAGACTAATAAAGAATGGGTACAGTTGTATATTCTTTCCAAACAATTGTAATGTAGCCCTTACACTTTCTTATCATCTTGGCAGCTCAGTAAAGCTACTTTGGCTACTTTGAATGTGAACGTTTTCTTGAGCACATAGGTTGACTGTATTTTAAAAATAGTATTACAACTGTATTATCTCACAGTAGTCATAACTTTTCGTTTCATCAAGCACTTTTTCACATCCTATCTGTACATTTCATCTGTAGTTATGGTCACAGGAAGAGCCTTATTTACTTGTTTTCCACAGTTTCTCTTTTTTCTGATGTTTTTGTAATTGTGCAGTTATGTTGTAAATCTGTTACCACACTGAATGTGTCTGCCACTGAGCTAATTTAATTTGTCAGTTCAATTGATGCCTTTGTATCTGATACATGTTGGTTAACAAAAGCTTCTGAATTGTAAAGACTGAGATGTTAGTATTCAGACCTATTGAATTTGAACGTTGACTTTCTGATGCTCTTCTTACTTATTGTATTTTCTCTCCTCTCCTCAGGTTAACTTGTGGTTAGAGCTGGTTCCCCATCTGCACAGTCTCAATGAGGTCACCCAGCTAATCCCCACCACCACCAAGGTCGGTACTCAATCTTCTATACCTCATTCTGCCACTAACAGTTTCAAAATAAGAGCCAAGCAACATTAAAAAAGAAAAATTAAAATGCAATGTTCAGATTGCTTGTTGACCCAACTCTTGTCTAATCTTGTCTTCAAGTGCCTCAACTGCTTTTGCAGTTAGACATTACAAGATATTTGCATATTAACGTGGAACTGACATAAGTACAAATGCTTCTCATAAGTCACAGCTCATTAGTTTCGGTATGATGAGGAGGAAATTCACATCATGAGCAAAAGCTGTCATCAAGTTACATTTTGGGCTGCTCAAAGTATTGGCAAATTTAATGTGGTGATTACTGGAAAAAACTAATAAATCACGCATACCAAAGGAGTATTCTAAACCCACCTCTTAGTCTACTGTCCGGAAGAGTTGAATACATGTATAGAATCAGGGTTAATATATTTTTCAGCAGGTTTTACCACTTCTGCTTTGGATTCATTTCTCAGCCTTGGAGGTTGCTGCTTGGAACCAATCTCAGCGGACACTAAGCAAATTTTCAAGCCCCACTTGTCAAAAAATAACGAAATCTGCCAATTTTAAAATTGCAAATTTATTTTAATATCAAATAACACCAAGTTCAAAACAGATAAAATATAAATGCAACTGTATCGTTTGACAGGGGGATAGTTTTCAATTTTGCAGCACTTGTCTCATCCAGCATAATCGACACCCTGTCTACAGAAGCAGGGAGAATGAGCTGCTCAGCAATTGTGTGTGATTTTTGCACTGTGCAATTCTGTATGCAATTTTGAAGGAAGCCATTTGTGCTTGCTGTCCACTGATGCAGATTTAACCATGCGATTTTCCTGGACAGTATTCTGCCAGTCGTGTGGCTTATTAACGTGACTGGGGTGTGTCGTTTCTAAACGTCTTCTTAATTTGTTGGGTCTCATGCTGTCTGCTGCCAGCGGTTTAAGACACAAGACACACATGGGTCCCTCCTCTGTGCCCACCATGCCCACCATGAATCCTTCATCATATTTCCTTTTCAGCTGGCTTTTTGGTTGATAAGGCTTACTGCCTGTCGTTTCTTTGTCTGCTTGCGATGAATGGCCTGCTTTTTGTGGCCCATGTAATAAATTTATCCATACACTATTGGCCCTTTGTGTGAACATTTCCTTATATTGTTGCACGGCAGTTAACGTGCCGACGTTAAACCGTTATTGTTGCACTATGGTTCCAGTTTTTTCTCCCGGGCCCCGAACTCATGTTATTTTAATTTACTTGTATTAATGACCCATTTCTAATTTTCTCCGTTCATTGCACCCCACCTGTAATGTCTTTATTCCCCACTAGTAGGGTGCGCCCCACACTTTAAGAACCACGGCCATACACAAACAGCCAAGCAAAAAACAAAAAAAACCCAACAAACCTAAAAAAACATTTTTTTAAAAAGTTGATTGCATTTTGCTCATTCTTCATAACACACATGCAGCAACACTCAAGGTCAATAAGGATATTTCACCAACTGTTCTTTGAAAATTACTTATAACCAAACTAAGACACAATTCTAAGGCGTAGGAGGGTCTAAACATGCATCAAAGTGAAGTTCACTTTTCTGTCAGTGCAAACATTTGCCCTGATAAGTGACCCAGTGTGCAGAGCTTTCCTTGAAATCAATCTGATTAAAAAGCTCAGATTGTAGTAGCACAAAAACTTTCTCAAACAAGCTAATCATGACTGATTATTGTTTTTCCTGCTTTCAGATCCCTGCCCCAGAGGCTACTAACCGCACCCCAAAAACCAAGGTTCTAGTGACTAGGCGCCCTAACCCGACTCCATTCCCCACTGAGACCCAGGACAGCCACAACCAGCCACACCTGGTGGACCAGCGTGACTACTCCACTGAGCTCTCAGTAACCATTGCTGTGGGAGCCTCGTTGCTCTTCCTCAACATCCTTGCCTTCGCCGCGCTTTACTACAAGAAAGACAAACGCCGGCATGACGTCCATAGGCGCTGCAGCCCTCAGCGGAGCGCTGCAAATGACCTGGCCCACACTCAGGAGGAGGAGATCATGTCCCTGCAAATGAAGCAGCACTCAGACCTGGATCGGGACTGCAGGGGGGTGGGTGACTCCCTGCACCCACATGATGTGGTGCTGAGGACTGCCTGCCCACCAGACTATACTCTGGCCATGAGGCGCTCACCGGACGACATCCCGCTCATGACGCCAAACACTATAACCATGATCCCCAGCACCATGGGGGGGCTCACCTCGCTCCACTCTTTCAACACCTTCCCCAGCAGTGGGCAGAATAACACCTTGCCCCACCCACACTCACACTCCACCACTCGGGTATAGCCCTGTAGATGCACCCATGCAGGTAGGACTCTGTGGGCTGAAGCAAAAGCTAACGCCACTGCTGCAGTAGAGACTTGAGACTGATAAGCTGACAAACACCGTTATGTCAGGAGCTGAAATGCCAACCTGGAGCTTGTCAGATACTCATGGAATTGCACCAGGATTGTACAACACCCTGTTAATACCTGAGGGAATATAATCATATAGTGCAGAGATTTCTGGGGGTTTGGACCGGGGGGCAGGGAGCATAATTATGTTTTTTTTTTTAGAAAAAAGACAAGAAGAAAAAAGTAAAATAAGGAGATGAAGAAAAACAGCCTCAAAAGCTAAAATATGTGAGTTTTTTCTGATACTGCAGCAAAACAAAGTACAGTAAACTACTTTTTCTTTCTAGCAACAGATATGGCCTTTGGGATCTTTTGAGAAATGACTGCTTGACAGTATTATCTGGAAGCAGAAAGGAGCATCAGACACCTCGGAGGTGGGAAGAGGGGAGTGTTTTGTAAAAGAGAGAAAACATATTGTTCCCCTTTTGGCATCACACTGCAGATTACTGTTTATGGGGATGCCACACAACCCAATTTAGGCATGTGTTAACTTCATATATGGAGGCTATGTAAGATAATGCAAAAACCACTGCTGAAAATAGCAAAGGAAGGATGTGAAAATGTGAAGGACAAAGAAACCCTGTATGCACAAAAGAACCATTTTGAGGGGGGAAAATGACACGTATACTTTTCATCAGTTTATTTTTGAGGATTGGGAACTATTTTATTGTATAGAAACTCTTTACATACCTAGATCTGTAAACTAAGCACCAAGGCTGTTTAAGCCCTCTTCTCTTTGGGGGTTGTCTATACTCCAAACCTGCCAGCAGGATTGAACCAGTGGAAGTGGAGGACCCACCTACTGGCTTTTTGGCAGTTCCAATTTCAACACAGAGCTGGGGACAAAGGATAATTGGATATTTTAGCACGATGCGCATGACAATTTATCTGCTTGATGGCTGCTCTGCTGATTATGTCATTATAAGAATAATTTTTACCCTCTTCCTTGCATTGGAGCAATTTCAGATGGATTTCCTGATCGGAATTTGGGAAAACACACACCCTCGCCGGACCATGAGAAATGCAGTTCCAGGTTGTGGATATTATTGGCTCGAGTCGGGGACAATAAGGAGAGGGGCTGGGGATATAGTAAAACTTCCTTGCATAACATAAAATAGCTTGAGTGAAGCTGGGCATACAAGGACTAGTTTTGTATTCTGTGTTGGTACTACTTTTTGATAGTGGTTAAATCACATTACACTGTATCATTCAAACTCATTGTACCTTCAGTTGAGATCAGTGTTCTTTGCTATTCTACTTATTGGACCACTTTAACTTATAGAACTAATCACCTGCACTGTTTATTCCATTGCCAGTTTTTCTTTTCTTTAACTGGGAGGTGGATTGAGTGACACAGTGGCTGCCCACTGGTGTGAAAAAATGGAGAGAAACTGGTGGAAAATGCTCCACTTCCTTTAACCAGCCAGGTTCTGTAGAGCTGTTTAATCAGGGCACCATATGTGACGAATTTAAGTCAGGCCAAGCACAGACAGATCAGCCTAGGTGGAATTCTGCACATCGGGTGAATTAGATGAAAAGCTTGGGTCAGGATAGGTTAGTTTCCATGTGGCAATTTTTCATTATCAGTCAAGATTGATCATTTTTGGAAGTGCATTATGTTAAAAAGGAAAGAAAAAGAAAGGCCTCCATAGCAGCTGAGAGACACAGTCAGGCTCTTTACCTCATTTTAAAGAGCTATTACTTTTTTGGGGGGCCTCATTTTTTTCTACTAGAGATTCTCTGTTGTTCTCTGTTGTTTCATCATTTATACTGAGCTGACAGGTTGGGCTGTTTAGCAAAATGGTTTCCCCTCACATCCTCAGCACCTTCAGTTTACTGTTCCCTGCAAGGTTTTCTGCCATCGCTAGCATCTTTAGGTCAGTGACGCCGCGACAGCTAACAATGTTAGCCATTGGAGTAGGAGTGAGTCATACAGGAAAGCAGTCTGCAATCGGATCCAGTTACTTAAGTCATTGCAGGGGTAAAGTGGTGATCTTTATAACAGACAAAGAAGAGGAATATCCTGGATGACAACCCTATTGTGTTCAGATATAGAAATCTGTACACTGGCACAGATATACTACTTGGTAAGCTAAAACGCTTCTCCCCCTGGTTTCCCTTCACTAACGTGTATATGTGTGGAGGCCTGTGTTGTGAGAATACATCCTTCCCCTTTTGGCTTGTTCACAGGCACTGTGCAGTCATTCAAAATAATGAGTGTGGACTGCTCTTACCACATATAACACTGCAGCAGGCAAGCTGGCTGGAGGGATACAATCTGGTCTGTTATAGGGAGTGTTGCTTTTTGGGATAAGATTTAAATTAAATAAACTAATTGCATCTCTTTGTTCCAGATTGTTTCTCTGGATGAAATAAATCACCAGGGCTTGATCTGAGGTTTTAACAAAATAAGGACTGTAAGGCTATTTATTATCACAAATCATTCTCATGGGCCAAGGTGAAAAAACCCTCTCTTGTTCTCTGTGTTGTTCTCAGCAACATTAAAAATGTGTGAATTTCAGAATCTTGAGCCAGTGCATCCTATAGGTTAGTTGACTTTGTACTGACTAGCTGCTAGCCTTCTAGCTCTACACTCAACTTGCCCATTTTTGCTAGGCAGCATGCATACAAGCATATGCAAATGAAAATGTGTGTGCAAACACCCTAACACAGCCGTGTGCTAGGAAATTAGGCCTGGGCTTTTCGAGTGTTGTGGTATCTACTCAAGATATTGTATATAGGCTAACACCCTGATTGCCTGCACTTGGACTCAAGATTTATGAGACCCATATAAAAAGCACCATGACCTTGTTTTTGTAACCCAGGTCAATGGCTGAAATATATTTCACAAGATATGGAGGGGAGCCTTGGAAGAAAATGAAACACTTTTGTTGGCTGGGTGGCTGGGAGTATTGATAAAAGCAAAAATCCCTTCAATGCAAGGCAATATAATAAGTTTCCAACTGTCAGCGATGCTGGGAGTAGACTACACAATATGAGCCCCAGAAGGCCCAACCCAGAATCAGATGTGAAGACTAACATAACAGGTGCAATTTTCCTGACCAGCAGTATTTTCCATGGTTGCATGTCTAGTCTTTTTTGTGCACTGGTGTGTTTGGTATTTTCCTGCCATGAATCAGTGCTCTTACACTGAGGTGGGAGGAGAGGCACAGTTGAGGTCCTGTGTACACTAATTAGGCAGCACAGTGCAATTTTGGTTCTCGCTTTAACCCAAAATAGTGATGACAATAACACCTGCTCAGGCCACCTTTTATCACTGTTGCAGGTGTACGGTATTTGCATAGACTGCAAAGCATGAGATCAGGTATGCACACCAACTTAAAATTAACCCTTAAATCCACAACTGATCTGCTGGAGTTCACTCTCAATAATTTAATGTGTATCATGAAGATTGTTTTTAAATAAAATAAATAAACTAGTCCTCGGCCATAGATATGAATATGGTCAAACAGTGTTAGTGCACGTCAGGACGCACCATCTGTCCTTACAGGATGCAGTCAGTGGAGATCTGCAGTCAGCAGCGATCTGCAGCCAGAGGCGGGCTGCAGCCAGCATATGGGAATCCAAATTCACATTAAAAAATTACACATAATAAGACATGAAAGCAGCTCATGGGCCAAGAAAAATAAGAGACACCCTGCAGATGTCTCCATTAATCCTGTTGTGCAGCAGGTAAAGTCAGTCTGACGTCACTGTGCTGCTGTCAGTAAGTTACATTTGATTCAAACGAACAAGTTTCACACAGACACACCTTCATTACCACTGTGGGGATGTACGTTGTGTCTGTTTTGGCATTTTATGGAGGTTTGATCAGCTTTGAAAGCAGTTGTAGGTGGAGATGAAGTGGATGACACATCCACTGGCTGTAAGCTCTGGTAGACCACAGTCAGTTTCAGCACAAACGCAGTGATCACAATATGATTTTATTGTATTATTTTAAAAACTGTGAATCATTTATAAGGTTACATGAGTATCTCACACACTGGATGCAGCGGTGAGTAAATTACACTATATAATTGCTGCTGGTTATAAGGATAATAAGGATAATCACCTTTATTGGCCAAGTATGTTACACACAAAGAATTTGTTTCCGGTACAGAACCGATAGGACCACAGACTTCTTTCTTCCATGCACAAACGCTGGTCAGTGATATTAGCAGACTGCTGAGTGAATATTTATGTGCAGTACTTCTACATAAACAGTTTTGTCAATGCCAATTTAGGAATGGAGAACAGGAGAAGACGGTACAGGGAAAGAAACTCATAAGTCACAGCTCATATATCATACATCATTCAGTCAGGTTTCTGCTCTGCTCGTTAAAGGAGATGAGAGGAACTGGTTTGATTGGACATAACTGAAGCCAGCCCCAACTTCACCTGCTCACGATGTGTCCCTCCATGTAATAACGTACTCCACTCACCCTACTAAATGTGCTTCGTAAATCCTGGCTGTGCATCAAAGTGCGCTGCATCTGTGGTCACCAAAATTGCAAAACACCATTGAACATGCCCATGTTTACCTTGTGCCTGGAGTTTAGACAGAAATTTAACAATGTGCCCTCTTGCAGGAAAATGGAGCCCAACATCTTGGACACCTTTTCAAGCCTCAACCGAAAGACTTTCATGTTTCTTTTTTTTCACCTATTTTTAAAAACTTTATGATGTGCTCAAAGATATTAACCTATAGACAAGTAATCCCACACAGCCGTTAACATGTGTATGAAGGCCACGATACTAACCCCTCTCACACTAAGGTGGCATATTGGAAACATTAAAGCTCCAAACACTGCTTGAGGTTGCATGACGGAGATATTCACTCAGTAATTGACTACCATGAACCTGTGAACAGAGTTCCCTGCAGACCTCCCTCTTTCATGTTATTAATTCGGGATAAGACCCCAAACCTCCCAAATAATAACAACCTGCAGTTATTGTGGCAGCTACCTCCTTAAACCCTCAGATGTTACTGTACTGAGAAACTTTTATAAACCAGTACACTCTGGCTCTGAGGAAGTGTTAAATTTAGTCTGAAATAACCAATGAAAGCTGTGTCACTGGACACTTAAGACCATATTTGTTTTGCACAGTATTTAGTTGGCATAAGATGTTATTAAGGATGGGATATTTAAAAAATAGTGTATGTTATGTAACAAGTAAACAGCTGGATATTTTAGATAAACCGTTTTCTGATGTATCTGTCTAAAAATCATTTCAGCAGTTCAGTCTTGGCCTTCTGTGAACCCTGTGAACTGTTATGCAACCTCAGACAGCCGGCCGGTTTGTATGGCATGCAGCCAGCCAGTTTGTATGGCATAACTGTGGTGGCAATTTTTCCACAACATAACACCCGAGCAACACGCCCAATCAGAGAGGCACTGCTGAGAGGGTTAGCATACTACTATTAACACGGTAAATTGTGTAATCGAACACTCACTGTGAATTGTGCAATATGTACAACTTTAACAATTACCACTTAAAAGTGTAAACCCACTAAAATCATAAGAATAAGCATCATCCAAAAATTGACTCAATAACCAGAGTATTAAACCTTTTCAGGAATTTTATATAGAAGCTTAACAGAGCTACAGCAAAGCAACAAGCAATAAAGTATAAACCTTAAAATCATCAATTGTCTTGATTTGCTTACAATGTAAATAAATCAACAACTACTATTTCTAAGCATAAATCTAAAATGATCATACTGATTAAAATTATTATGGTTGAGCTAAGCTCTTGATCTGAACAACAAAGATTTTTCTCACACAATCTGGCTCTCAGCTGGCTCTGGGTAGGGCGGTGGCAGATTGGGCAATCGTTTGTTCCTCTTTTTGAAATGATTCAAGTCTTCACAAGGAAAAGCTCATCCGGTTCAATCTTCAAAATTCTCAAAGAGAGAAATAGGACAAATTCAGATAAACAATGTTTTTCTTGGTCAAATCTTTTGTGACTCAGGAAAGCATAAAAGACATGAAAATGTCTATAAACAGTCTCCTTTTAGTCCAAATCTTCATAAAGACATGAAAATGTCTACAACTGTCTTTTCAAGCCATCCTTTCCCCACCAGGCCGGGTGGATTGTGGCTTTTTGTTAAAATTCTTCATTTCTTCATCAATCATCCTTGAAGCAGGAATTCAGTTTCCCTGCTGAGCTGTGAGGCTCTGCCACAGTTTCATCATCCCTCGTCGGCATGCATTTCCTTCCTCTGACAGGCCGAACGCCTGTGTCCAATGTGAGATATTAACTGTGTGAGACATTGCAATTCTTCCTCCACACAGACCGGGCCTGCGGGGGAGCACCTCCAGAGGGGCTCCTCTTCACGGACTGCCTCCCGCATTCCTCGGTCTCCTGAAAGCCAGATGGCCAACCGGACAGAGCCTCCAGCTGCGAAAGGACTCCCCGTTCCTCTTTTTGCCTGGGTTTTCATAGGGTTCTGGTCAGTATTCTTTGTCCTCTCATCCAACCAGATGCCACAGTTGGCAGTTAATACCTTATTTGGTGTGCAGAATCATATTGTTCTGAAGTATTGCATATTTTTTCCTGTCAGCTCAAGCCCACTGCCTGTAACCAGCCTCTGCCCCACCAAGATCCAGCCTTGGATTCTATTTCCTCTTTTCTAGAAAACTAAACCATCTCAATACATAACAAAAATACAAGAAACTCACATCTGACTGAAATATCAAAATTCCATCATTGCTTTTCCCAGAATCAGAATTACACACTGATTTTACATAAAACTATCAATGCCTTAAAATCAAAATATAAATCTTTATATTTTGAATACATTAATCGACTAAACATTGATTATCATTGATTGGACATTGATCAAACAATTATCAGTCAAATCTTTACTTTTAGGCTTGACACCATCATTTTTGCTGCTTCCTCATTATGCTGTGTGTCTCTTCTCTGTGTGGCATGCACACACGAACTTTTGCAGTTCCTCCTTTTCAGGGATGTGTCTACTTCCTCTTTTCTGTGATTCTTGCATTTTTCACCCTGTGAGATGTAAATCACTTTTCCCCATTCTTTTAATACAGTCATTTCACATTTTATTCTTACACATTCACTAATGATTATTTCAAACAAAACACACAAATAAATCATCTTATGATTAGCCTGACACATGTCAAAGTAAAAGACAAAGGAATTAATTTGAAAACTGTATTCATTTGACTAACACTTTCAGCAACCACTATACCAAATGAATGAAATCTGTTGGTGAGATATCACCCTCTGCACACATATGTGTATTGTTGTGTACTCACACACTCAGCATTGTTCTACCTACTCCTGAGGAAAAAGGCAGACCTCAAAGCAGGTCCACTTCCTTCATACTGTAAACCCGCTTTTAAATATGTAAATGTTCATTGTTGGCTCATGTATGTCATGTACTGTAAGCTGTGAAAGCTAGTATTGGGTTGAGGTCGGATGTGTAGTTTTACCATATCTCTCATCCAAGTCACAAAAGAAATTCATGGTCACCTAATCTGAAACACTGGTCATCTGAAATGACAAGAACTGATTCCACCATTACCTTACTGTGTTGCAGGGCCACAACCTATCTGCTTTTCATCCCCACATAACTGCATTTTTATCATATGTACTACAGAGTACCCATAAACCTTTACACTTTTGAAAGAGTAGTATTGATAAAGAAATTAAATACAGCTTCTTGGCATGTCAGCCTACACAGTGTAAGTATGCTGTAATACACAACTGTACTATAGTGAAAATGCAATTGACTCTACATGACTAAATCAGTAACATGCTGCCGGTAAACAGTAAGTACCTCTACCAATGAAAATATCACCAGGATTGGGATAGCCTAGTATGTTAGTGAGCACCCACCAAATTCATGCACTGCTCTCCAGAGAAGTGACACTGGGGCAAAACAAGGCCCAGCCATTGAATTAAACATGTAATTGCACTGATGTGTAAATAGTCAAGCAATTGCAGGGCCATGATAAGTAGCTGACCGTTAATGATGAATGCTAATTGGCAACTTGCCATGCGTTCAATTGTATGATTTTAACAGATACTGTAAATGCAGCCTACTGCAGCATGAGGGAAGTGAGAAGTTCTGGTCAGCATCTGACATAGTTGAAATTAAAAATGGAAATCACTAGAAACTGCATAGAACTTGATGTATGGTGGCATAGGATAAGATCTGGCATGTGTGGTGACTACATACAAGCAGAATCATCCTACAGTAGTTCTTCCTACAGAACAAGCAGTCTGGCTGAGTCGCTCAAGGTCCTACAACGATTCAGGAATAAAGGGTTATATCAAGTGAGTAAAAGCTTTAAATAGCTTTAACATGCCTCACAATTGACAAGAAATAAGCACGGATACCAAAGCAAATTCAAACAGTATCATTAGTGAAAAACTGCAGCTTTTGCAAGTAAAGGCATAAGATTAACTTCACAGCACTGAGTCTTCAAACTGGGAAAGCTAATGACAGTGTAACTTACAGTATATCACTGAAAACTTACATATGCAGACTTCAAAAAGAGAAATAATGTTGGGAGTTTGATTAAATCTTGAGCTAGCTGCACAAATAGAGAGCCAGCGAAAGCAGACATTAGCATGACTGATTCATCTCTGGTGATAGAGAAGCTGTAAACTTTCAAATACACAGTGCCCAAAAAAAAGGACTGGGAGGAAGCACTCACTGACCACTGAGGACCTGGCTTCCTTATGGGACTGGAGCACTTGCTATCAATTAGTAGTGGGTGATAGTGATGGGTGATTAGTTGAGAACTGTATTAAAACACCTGCATAAATTCATATACGTGTCCATTTGAAACTCTTTAACCACCTCAGAACTGAGCATGATACCTGTCATTAGACATTTCAAGTCACATTGTTAACGCTCTGATCAGAAGCTTTCTAATTAGTGAGCTATGTATGTTTTCACTGCAAATGACTGAGCCTGAATAAGTGAAAAGATTAGGTTAATGAGCTGATTTTGGCCTGGTGAGGAAGTTTGTTTTTAATCACTGACACTGTAGTTTTGTGTTAACAAGTTATAGGATAGCCTACATCTTTGTCTATCAGCTAACTTAATGTCTAAACTGCTGTAACTGACTACTTGTTGACATATTCTGTACTTAACATGTTTCTACTGGATACTGAAGGTGCCCTGTGAAGTTTCTATTATTCGTTGTGCTGTCTACAAAATACTTTATGGCCCACAAACATGTTGAATGCATTCCCTACCTCATTAACATTCACAAAACCTTTTTGGTGTGTGAATGTTGGGAAACTTGCATTGTTTTCTTCAGTTTTCTGTCTTGTTTTTCTTGTTTTGTGTGTTGTAATAGCTTTTATTGTGAATTACAATGACAAACTATTAGTGCCATGCTTTTGCATGCATGTGTGTTAGTACTGAAGTGTTACGCTACAAGGTATCAACACTCCTAGAACTTTCTCATCAAAATACTGATCAACAGCACCACAAGTGTTCAAATACTCCACAGGGTACCTTTAGTGTTGATGTTGCTTGCTTTGTAAAAACCTCAGCTCACACTTAGATTACAATATATGCTTTTGAGTAAGGGCTAGGATTCAAAAGACTAGGGCTCACAACAGCATAACACAAGTAAACTATAACTGACATAAATGTCCCTTATTGGGTAATTAATTTGAACCCATTTACACAGTCCAGTAAGTGCCAATGTGGAAACCGAGTTAGCTCACACCGTTTATCCCATTAGTTTTCAAAAATGTGTTGAGTTTTTTGTGAAATAAGGCAAGAAAATAACTGCAAATGAGGGATATTGTTCTAC